TCTGTTGAGATCACTTCGTGTGAATATACTAAAACAATTATTCACCTCAGGCTCAGTTAATATTGTTGAATAATCCCCTCGACTTCGTCTCGGGGATTATTCTACAATATTAACTTCGCCTTCGGCGAATAATTGTTAAATATTTGGGACGTTATTGCTTCCCTTGTGGCTATTTTGGTTAAAATAGAAGAGAGGGAAAGGATAATCACTATTTCACGAGAGTAAAAAGAAAAAATTTCACCTCCGCATTAGCAAGCCTGTGCCTGCGAAACAGTGGGCAATTCTCTACCCGCTGACCTGAGTGGACTCATTGAAATTAAAATAACTCTAACTCTGTAAAAACTCAAAAGCAAGGTGGTAGGAGCCGGAAGCGGAGTTGCCATGCTTTCTCTGATGGTAACTATCAGTATTAAGGCTCAAGTCGGCCCCGTCTAGCCTCATTTCTATGACGGGCCCTACCCCGCCACTTTCTTCTTTCGTTACATCTTCTTGTTGAGCGATACAATAAACGCTATTATCGGCTGCGAACGAACTGAAACTAGCATTTTGTCGAAGCTCATGTGAAAAAAACTTTACACTAATACGGATCAGAGAAGAACGGACCACGCACTCCTCGAAAAGGATATGCCACGCGGTATAATGAGCTCTAGGGAGTATGCAAGATAGCAATCTTGCTTTAACCATCTCTTTATGGTTGAAACGTTCACTTCTTTTAAGGCCTGTACCAGGAAAAACAGCGCTGGACACCCGACCGGCACAGCAGTTTTGCACAACGCTTCAGTAAAGCAACTGATATGTGAACTTGTATAAAAAATGGAATTTAGATGATCATAATTTAAACAACTTAATTCTTCAAATTGCGCTGAAAACATGATATTGGAAGTAGGAATCCTGACAAATACAATGAAAAAAACCCCTCTTATTTTGCAACATTTTAAAGATATTTTAATCAAGTATAAAGCCAAGGCTTTATCATCGGCGCTTTTTTGTCTAAAATGATTATCCTGATCGTTTATTCCCTGTATATCGATGGTAAAACGTATTTAAAGCTGCGGTAAGCACAGGTACCTGAATTGTAACGTAGGGGTTTTGCAGTCGCATGCAGTCATCGTTTTCCTAATATCACGTACAAATTAATTTCTCTTTTTAAAGGACATAAACGGACAGACAGATTTTTTGGGCCTTGTCCGCAAAGAGTTGATGGAAGATTAATGATCAGAACTAAAGTTTGTAAGATAAGTTGCATAAATGCGTCACGGCAATATGATAATAAAACCTTTTGACTGTCGTCCCCGATCTATTGCAAAAAGATCCAGTTAAACTTCTTTAAAGAAATAATAAACACTTTCATCTGTAATTTTTGTATTATGTTTCCCAGTCTTTTCATTCTATTGATAGTATAAATGGAGGAGCAGAAACGATTTGAACGACGTGAGAGACGACAACTCAGATTCATTATAAGCAATGCTTTAATAAATTTTAGATCAAGTGGTCTCCATTTTACCCATATAAATTTTGAATTCACATTTTCCCAAAACGGTTATATTGTTTTAGCTCCCTTGCCGCTTTAGAATATTTAGACAATCGTTCACAAGTGCGATTTAAAATTTCAGACTAATGGTTTTCGATTTCTGCTTGTACATATTTCTTATGCAGGTGTGTTTGGAACTTTCTGGGCAGGGATCCCTGTTGTTTCATTCTCGTAAAGGTCCACCTCCCGTAAGTCGTCACTAAATCTTTGCATAATTGGTGCTCAGTTACGGGAAGTTCGGCTGTTATAATAAACCAATTAAGACTAACAAAAGTCTGTCCATAGCTTTTTAAATCACAATACATAGCTTATTTTTAGATTCTCCCCAAGAATGAGCCACGCCGGATTGGTCTTATTTGGAAGTTTCATTCCAATATTAATTCTGACAAGCATTCCTGACCTTTCACTGGAAAGGAATTCCCATCCCCACCACCCCTCCCCCCCCTACCTACCCATCTCTCGCCTTCATGCGGTTTCTGTGTAAGAGCCATTTTCAATAACTAAGCCAAACAATATTCTTGCATGTTTATTGAGAGCTGTATGGCCTATGAGACTATAGACCATAGAAATGATGTAATCCCGGATGACACAGTTTATGTTTTTGCTTGTGCTCCTGATTTTCAAACTTTTTTTAAACTTTCAATACTACTGTATAATGATCAACCACCCTTATTTCTTGCTCCATACTACATGAACTATACAAATGGCGTCATTAAAACAGGGGCACCCAAGGGGAAATTTTGAGAAAAAGACCTACAAGCAACAACAAAGCGTGAATAAAGTTTTCTGAGACTATTTTAAGCATTTTGGGAGATTGCTGGAAAAAAATTATCTGTTCCTCACTCCCAGCAAGACTGATGGAAGTTCCCCAGCCAGCAAACTTACAACCTGCAACCTGACTTACCTAGGAAGTTTCATAGGGCACAATTCAGATCTTGAGTGGTGGCAACTCCATAAGTGACCCGTAGCAGCTATTCTAGTCTTCAAATCCCCTCTGACACCCTGGATTATCTTTTTCCCAGCAACACTTTTCTTCGAAGGATTATTTTTCTTCCAAATCTCCCAGCCAGCAAAAATGTGCCTGAAGAACAGATATTTTGAGGAACAGATCCATTGGGTGCCCCTGTTAAAATGTTTAAAACACACCGCCTGCATTTTGGACGAAAATTCATTGCATGCAGTTTCTGGTTCACCATGCCCATTTTCATGTTGTTGCTGACAATATCGGATCAACAAACAGCTGTATAATTGTAACATTTATTTTATCATGTATTAAAATAGTTTACATTTCCCGCGTTTTTCTCTTTTCTTCCTATTTTTTAACAACATCCGCGGAAAACTGTTTAAGCGAAAGGCACGAGGCTCAGAAATTGAGACTGTGGCTACTTGCCATTTATAAATTTGAAGGCTTGCAAATACATGCGCATAATATTATTTCAAGCTGTCAATTTTTAATAGTGGTGCTCACAAAATGAACAGGAAGACTTGAGCAGATATTTGTAAACAATCATACGTTAAAAATCTCGGTGCGTCGAAATGGTTTCTCTTTCTTCTTTCTCTTTCAGTTTCTTTTTCCCAGCCAATAATCCTCAAATGTGAGGGGTAGGCTGTACACAGTAAATGCAAATGTAAATCTTTTTACTTCTTGGGCTAGTTTGGGGAACAACATGAACCGTTTCTGTCTCGCGATGGCGATGGTATGTCATCAACGATTCATGCGTATTTGTGGCAAGAATACCAAATGAGTTGAGGCTGACTTCAACTTTTTATTACTTTTATACGTGTAGAGCTCTTCATTTATGCTTTGACCTTCTCGATCGTGTTATGATAAGGCCAAAGACTCTCGTCACCAATGAGATGGCCATAAGTACAGATACTGCGCGGGTATGTGGTTGAAGTTGATGTAAAACAACTTGTCTTTGACAGCTTGTAAATCGAAATGCACGTTCGTGTCTGCTTGAAAGAGTTTTGAGAGTGCAAATCACTTGGTTTGGCTTCACACACCATGTTTGAACATATCTTAGTATTCCTGTAGTATGCTCACAAGAGAAACGTGTCGAAGGAAGTGCGGGCTTAAGGTTTTCTGGCAGTAATAGTCTTTTGAACGGGAACGACAGTTCCTACGCCGAATAGGAACCCTGGAGCTGGTTTCCTAATGCAACGTTACAGTTTTTCTTTCAAACCAGTTCAAGGAAAAAAGCCTTGCTTTTCTATTAGGACGATGGAGGAGATATAAACTTTATGTCTCTGTTTTTGACAACTGAAGCGGTTTTGCCAAATTTCGTGCGAGGTTTGGTCTAGAAAGGGCAGAAGAGCGTGAAATTAGCGACATTTCGGGGATATAAAAAAACAGAAGTGGAATATCAGTGGATGTAAAAAAATTCAACAACACTACAAGTTGTGTTCCCTTGAAACTTTAAAGAATGAGCAAAAAGAATTTGAATTAAATACAAATAGCAGGTGAAAATGAGCCCTTTCTCACGTTGGCGATGGTGTTGCATCAACGATTCGTGTGTCTTTTCAAGGCAAATACCACATGTCAGTCGTCATTGACTTCAATTTTTTATTACCTTTCTACGTGGAGAGCTCTTCGAATTTTTGACCTTCTCGATTGTTTAAAGATAAGACCAAAAAACTGCGTTCACCAATGAGGTGGCCATAAACACAGATAGCGCGTATGTGGTTAAAGTTGACTTCAACTAGCGAATCAGCTTGTTTTTGATGGCAATTAAAACGCAATGCACGTTCTTGTCGGTGAGAAAGAGTTCTGCGGATGTCAAATAGAAATCTCTTCTGTTAGCTATTTCATTTCGTTCGGTTTCACACGCGATGTTTAAAAATATTTTAGTATTGCTGTTTGTGGTAGGTTTACATCAGGCACGTGTCAATGGAAGTGCAGGCTTACGGTTTTCTGGCAGTTCTTACGCCGAGTACGACCCTTGGAGCTGGTTTCCTAATGCGACGCTGCAGTTTTTCTTTCAAACCCGTGAACAGAAAAAAGCTTTGCTTTTCTATCAGGACGATGCTGTCAAGGGCGGTGCTTTCGAGGGCACAAAGTACTACTTTATGTGTCTGTTCCTGACAAGTAGCGGTTTTGCCAAATTTCGTGCGAGGCTTGGTCCAGCGACAGAAGAGCGTGAAATTGAACATAACTTTGCTGACTCCAAATGGCACAAAGTCAGGATAAAGATTGATAGGATAAAACTATATTTTACAATAGAAGATGAGAATGGCTTAGTACACACTGCAGAACCTCCAGTTGAAATAAGTGCATCTACCCAGACTCGAGCGAACAGCGTCTTGTTCATCGCTGGAATTCCACTCAGTTTGTCGCCCACGGATTTTTCCGATACAAAATTATTTTCGTAAGTCTTTTCCAATGGGTAAAAGTAGATATGATATTTTTAACATGATTTAGTTTTGTTAGTTTTCTTTTCCTTTTTCGTCGGTTCTTAAAAAGTCAAGCTTCTATCTACCAACAAATTCATATAAATTATTTAAACAAATCCGTGACCGCGAGGAAAACGAAAAGTGCGTCATCACGGCGTTGTTTTAATTGAATGATCACAAGACTTGCTTGCGTCTTGTTCGTCGCTTGAATTCCACTCATTTCGTCACCTGATGATTTTTCAGATACAAAATTAGTCAAGCACGTTTTTTCCACAGGGTAGAAGAATAAATATGCTATTTTTAAACTAATTTGTTTTATTGCTCGTTGTTTTCATATTGATTGTTCGCTAATTCCTAGACTGAGTCAAGCTTCTAACCACGAGTAAATTAAAATGACTATTTTTCCGTGGGGTCGAATCACTGACTACGAATAAGCAAAAAATTACGTCATCGTGGCATTGATCGGATCAGTAGGGTTACTTGCCATAAAGCAAGCAACCAACTGTCTTTTAGTATTATTTAGCTGTCAGTTTCAGAAGCAAATGTTAAAATCAAAATTTTCATTTGACAGAAGACTGTGCACTCAGCGTTTTGTTTAAGATCCCCGCGAAAATAACAATTTTAACATTCGATGCGAATGTTTCTTCCTTTTCATTGGCAGAGAGCCCACCACCTGACCTTTGAACAACTGCCTACAAATAATGGTCTGCCCATACGCATTGTCGTCCAACTGCATGGGTTTGGCTGCAAATAATAGTCTGCTCATTTGTAAATGAAACCACGCTTTTCGCCTTCTTGCGGTAGCTCTTGCGTGATAATGGCGGGTCGATTGGCTTCCCCAAGATTTTCATTAAAAAAACCATTTCGGTGATGGAATGATAAAACAAATATAGCGACTCCCGCTAACTCTGACCCTCGCTAACTCGAACTAAAATCGAATTTTCCCGGATTTCCTTCATACATTTACTGTAATTTTACCCTCGATAACTCGAACCTTGTTTTGAGCGCTTATAAAGCCAGGAAAAAAAAAACAATGTACTGTCGTCCGAAACGTTGAATTTTGAATTTACCATTGAAGTGTTGTAGGCGTATAGCTTACTAGTGGAAGGTAATGTTGTTTGTAAAAAATCTACCGTGAAACAGCGTTTGGTTTGTACTGTCGCACTTTGTAATAATCGTCGCACTTTGTAATACCTGTCGCACTTTGTAATAACACTTGTCGCACTTTGTAATAAAAAAGCTGTCGCACTTTGTAGAACAGACCATCGCACTTTGTAATAAAAAAAGCTGTCGCACTTTGTAATAAACTTGAAATAGATGGTCGGAGGACAAGTAAACCCAGTAATAAGTGTCATCATCGACAACAACAACAACGACAATAATAATAATAAAATATTTTTAAAGTTTTACTACCAGCACAGGCAACTAGGAAACCTATGATTTCGTTACCTGCAAGGTATTACTTGAGACCTATACAGAGATATTACTTGATTTGTATTTATTACCATGAATAAGCTATACTGTATTTCATAAAGCCAAATGAAAATCACAAACTCAGAGCCCAACCCGGTATCACAATCATTGTCATCATCATCATTATTGTCACTATTATTTTCACTAAAATGTTCTTTAAAACATTGCATATCACGTCATTGTGCCACGATGACCACTACTAATGAATGTTGTGGAAATTTCGAATACGCTGGAACCTACATGAAACGGCATCATTGTGATAAATACACAAAACCAGTGTTAGATCTGGATATATTTAAAGGCTACGTGCTGTGTACAGCTGAACATTGTTCTCTGAGATCGCGTAAACCTGAACTTTACGGAGATATTAAAAGCAGATACCCTAAGATTACAGCAGCTATGGAAAAATTATTATATTTTTGAGTAGACAAATCTCATAAACGGGCCACAAATTCAACATGAATTCGCGCGAACTGAACAAATTGTCTGTTGTACATTTTAAAGGTTTTGCTCAACTTACACAATTTTCCCTTGCTGAACATAAACTGTACCGAGCCGTATCTTGGTCCGTTATATATAAGCTATATCATGGTTCAAATTTTAAACTATAAGATCCCTGAAAGAGTTCTCCTCAATGGAGCAATATGTAAAAGGTTTTGAAAGGTTTCACACCGGTGAAGATGTGCGGCCTGTCACCTCTTGCAAGTTTTTACTTTAATATTATTATTATTATTATTATTATTATTATTATTATTATCATTTTTATTGTCGTTGTTGTTGTTGTCCATGATGACACTAATTACTGGGTTTACTTGTCCTCCGACCATCTATTTCAAGTTTATTACAAAGTGCGACAAGTGTTATTACAAAGTGCGACAGCTTTTTTTATTACACAGCTTTTTTATTACAAAGTGCGACAAGTGTTATTACAAAGTGCGACAGGTATTACAAAGTGTGACAATTTTATTACAAAGTGCGACAGGTATTACAAAGTGCGACGATTATTACAAAGTGCGACAGTACATGGTTGCTTCCCAAAACAGTTAAATGCATGCTCTGTTTAGGCGATGTGTTGTCACGTTGCGTTCTGATTTACATTCAAGAAGCATCGTTTCATTTTAACTTGACATTTCTATAATTAAATGTGATTAAAATGTTCACTGTACTGTAGAAACTGGTTTTCCCTTACTTCTGGCTATTTGCTTCGAGCTCCCGATAACTCGAACTCTCGATAACTCGAGCTTTTTTCTATTTCCCTTGAAGGTCCGAGTAATTAAGAGTGGACTGTATTCAACACGGTTATCGCAAAATATCTTGATTTGTCCGTGTCTCGCAGATTAATTAATCTGCTCTCGCCACTGACAAATCACGATATTTTGCTCAGCCTCGTCCAATAATTGTTAATTATTACCGGTTAATTATGATCTTCCAAAAGAAGGAGAAATAGGATCTTATTTGGAGCCGACTAAAGCTAATTATAGAACTTGTTATTCTTGTTTTATTCAATAGTACACTCGGTCTCGCCATGTTTGAAGGATGTATAGGTGATATAGTGGTCTATCGACCATCGAGTGGTCAGCTGGATAAAGTAAAGCTACGGAAATCAGCTAATGCAGAGGACACTTGCGTTGGAGCTTGTAGCAAAGTGGGATGCTACAATGGTGGTCGATGCATTGACAGAATATGGCATTCAGAATGTGATTGTTCAGCGACTGGTTTCAAAGGAGATAGATGCCAAACACGTAAGACAACTACCACTTAGAGCATATAATTAATGATAAATATGAATCACTAGATGCTGTTCTTGGTCAAAAAAGCTGATTGTTGACGGCTACTCGTTAAACGTCTGTAAATGAGCAGTAATCTACGACTGGGTAAAATATAGTGACGTCATGAGCAATGATAGTGAGCAAGCAAAGGAGAGGAAAAACCTGTTTTCAGGGTCTCCTTAGAGACTCTGGGAACGAGCTTTAGATAAATCTTTAAGGGGCCGATTACAAGTCAAATTTCAGCCAATGATGATAATTTCTCATGTAACGAGACAAAATTTTAGCCCCCAAGGGAAGGCCGAAAGCGTTAGAGAGGTAGAATTCAAGGTATGACAAAGGATGACTAAGAACCTCAAATATCACTATAATAAAACGTATTTACGACAAGTAAGTTTCAATCCATGGCTGGCGCAGCTTGTTATTTCCAACATTTCCATTATTTCTTGCTTGATTGGGGCAGTTGCTTCTTTTAGAAGGGTAGTGTCCTTCGGGATTTGCAAAGAACCGTTCAATTTTATCCTTCCCTTAGTTTAAAACTGGTGGCGAGGGGTACCGTTACTTGCTTTTCGGTATACATTTTTCCAATACCTGGGCGATGTCTCTCGCGCTAATTGGTTAGGAGCTGTGGTCCATGAGAGTGTAGATCATGTAAGATTGTTGTCTTTTATAATTTTGTTAAATACATTTTACTTTAAGGTTCCCATACTGCCTTCCTGAATACCCCTGACGAGAGAGGAGGATATATTTCTCAGTCGCTGAATGATGACAGTACCCTCATGAATACAGAAAGGAACACAGTTAGTTTCATGTTTTCAACAGAAAAGAAAAACGGTGTATTCTTTTACATGGGGCGAGACAAAGACCATTTGGTAGTTGAACTCGTAAATGGAAGTTTGCGAGTCGAAGCAGACGTCGGCGGAGGTAAAATTAAAGCAGGCGTTAATAGAGACCTTAAAGGAGCCATGTCATGCTATTTGCTGTCTTTTTAAAAACCTAGAACGTTTTTTGCGTCAGTTAAATTCCAGAAATAATGGCGCAGTTTTGTTAGTTAAGACTGTATCTAGGCCACTAAAGTGTTTCTTGTCGTCTGACGTAACAGATGGAAAGGAAGGACATGAATTGAAACTTGAAAAAGTTGGGTCACCTTTTTCAGGTTTTAATATACTATGCCTACAAAAATCACCAAAAAAATTTTGAGGTTAGTGCTCCCTGATGAAATTTGTCTGATACCTTCTTCGCAACTCTACAGTAAAGCATTTTGGCCATGATTAAAGGCACTAAGTAATAACTTTAACAGAAAATTGACCGAAAACAGCAGTATCCTCGTAATACATTGTCCGTGGTGTGAGTGTTTGTAAGTTATTACGTATACCCCTAACCGTAAATACGGTCAGACTGCCTCTTATGCCCCGAGTACCACTTTACAGTGGTACTCAGTCGACTCCCGATAACTCGAACCCTCGCCGAACTCAACCCTCGCGCTAACTCGAACTAAATTCGATTTCCACTGGATTTCCTTCATACTATAATTTTACCCTCAGCAACTCGAACCCTCGATAACTCGAACCTCCAGCTAAGTCAAAGAAATTTTTCTTTCCCTTCGGATCACAATTCATCCTTGATAACTCGAATCATGCAAGTTAGGCGCCTGAAAAGTCTTAAAATAGTGTACTAAAGTCTAATACATTGAAATTATTTTAACAACCATGTCCATGTAGTCTTTGACTTTTATTACCTTTTCGTCAGTCCAGTTTAAACACAGTGTTCAGCACTGTATATTTCTTAAGCTTTGAAGTATGCATGTTACTTGCATTCATTCCCCATCCCATATTCCTATTGCGGGTTATTTCAGTGCTTCGATCTCCCCGAAATCGAACTCCCGCTGACTGGAACTTTTTTTAATTTCCCTAGAAGGATATCGGGGGTCGATTGTATTACATACACTTAGCAAACTGAAAAAAGGCGTATCTTCTGAACGTCCCTATCTATAGGTCCATTTGTAAAAGACACCGGTATGACGGGTGTCTGGGCTATGGCTCAAACCGTGCATAAAATTAGCGTTTATGGGTCAATTCACAATAAATCAGTCATGTAGCGCCCCTTCCAGTTCCGCTGCGTGAAAACGCGACTACAAAAAAGGATACTTACGAAAAATTGAAGTAATAATTGTCTTGTTAGGAAACGAGTAGTATAGCGCGGACGTGCAAGCCATCTCTCTCTTGGACGTCCGTCTGGTTGACCGGATATAATGAGAAGACAGAGTGGAAAGCTCCTCCGCCCCCCACAAGTCCCCACATTCCCAGAGAAAACGGGGGCATTAGACTAGGCTGCCTTTAAACGACGGCGAACTCGTTCTTTTATATTCAGCCCCGAGGTCAGCAATGGCTCAACATAGTGCCTAAAAGCTGTCGTCTCTTTTTAGGGCTCAGAATGAATGGGGGGAGCACATGAGCAGACCTAATGGCTGAAAGCAAGTGAGCAAGGGATGGCGCAGTGGTAAGAGCGCTCGCCTCCCACCAATGTGGCCCGAGGTCAAATACCGGCGTCGACGCCATATGTGGGTTGAGTTTGTTGTTGGTTCTCTCCTTTGCTCCGAGAGGTTTTTTTCCGGGTACTCCGGTTTTCCCCTCTCCTCAAAAACAACCATTTCCAAATTCCAATTCGATCAGGAATCGGGTAGACGAAGAACCACTTTGTGGATGTGCTTCCTCCAAATCATGATTATGATGATGATGATGATGATTATTAAATCAACAATTCACTCGGGCGCTGAGTGCATACTGTCCATGATGGCGTCAGAGCCTAACCTCCAAATAAACCCCACTCAAAGCACCCAATCTCTGACAATTGTACGACTAACATCGCTAAAGTTTTGCACATCTCAGACATCTTGGTAAAATAGTATTCTAAAACCTCCAAAAAACACACACACATTTTCCCAGGAAAGAGGTTGAGGAATTGTTTTTCCTACAAAACAGTTAAAGACTGACTATAATTACTTACAACCTTTCTCTGTCTATTGAAGGTCCCATAGGTGTGTTTGCCAATGAAAGTAACCTCGCAGACAGCTGCTGGCATCACGTGGAAGTTCGTCGCAAAAAGGCGCGGTTAACTGTCATCATTGACAAAGAAAAATATGGAAAAATCCGTCAAGAGTCTTCACCCACACATATCAAGCTGAATCTTAACAACAAGACGTCAAATGTGATTTACTACGGCGGGGGCCCTTCTGAGAAACTGTGGTTTGCACAAGCTAAACCTTTGTCTTTTACGGGTTTTCTTAAACAGTTTTACTTTGAAGAAATCAATGTGATAGAAAATACATTAATAAGCCAAAGGAAAGGTTTTAAAATATCAGATCCACTTGGAGTGGGAATTGTAGAGAAAAATAACGTCTTACTGCAATTAGCGGAGTACAACTGCAGACCAGAGCTGGTGGGGTCAGGGTGCTTCTCTGATGATGACACAGATCTGTCATGTATCCCTTCAACAACTACACCGACTAAAGGTAAGATTTTAGAGATGATCCTCTTTGCAAGCTTTCTCTTTAATGTCTGTTATTAGCTTTGCCCAAGGCATGGAGGCTTCATCACAACAATTTTGGCCAATTATTTTGGGCCTGAAACAGTCCTCTCCTCTCCATAGCAACCCGTAAGAAAGCAAACTACACCTCCTAGTCGCAAGTCCCGTACTATTTCTAGCAGTAATGCCGAGTTTCATGCATGGGAGTATCGATCTCAACCGGGGCCACTCCACACTGAAGAAAAATAGCCAGGTAGTTTATCAGCAAACAAAAGAAGTAACAACAAACGGGTCTGAATTTGGTATCTCTTGAGCCCGGACCAAAACTGAAAAGAATTTCTTTACGCCTCCTGGCCAGTTTCAGTACAAGCTTTGGTTGAGTTTGTTTCGCTGTGACATTCCTCCTTCTAATCTATAAAGGCGGAGCATATCGGACAAGGCCATCCTTTCCTCAAATCAACGATCCGTGTGAATTCGTAAACCGTCGTCTGACGAAAAATTCGTGCTGACGGATAATCCCTCGCTAGTAAAAATTCTGTCATATTTTTGTTGCTGTTGTTTGGCTAAAGATTTTGTTTATTACTTCAGGTAGCCGAGAAATAACGGCAACTATATCGGAAAACACCACACTTGCTACTGCAGGACCGTTTTACACGGTTCCATTCAAATCAGAACCAAGCAACAACAACAACTGCGGCAAGAGCTATGGAAACAACGGTTCTCCAGTAGCAAAGAGAGACTCCCATGGTTCTTCTTGTCCAGTTTCCTTTTCCGGATGGTGCCTTCTATTCTCTGTGACAACCTTGTTCCTACACATTGTGTAATGATGACGTCACACGTTTAATCATTCCTTTTGATCTGGAGGTGCAAGGTCTAGGCGTGAGAACAAATTTTCTTCTTAAAAAAAACTCTTTGCCCTCTGTTCGTTTACAAGATTGCATGAAAATATACTTAACTTTGCTTTAATGGATCGTGCAGTTTGGACAAGAAAAACCCTTGAACTCAACTGAAACAGCAACGTCTTAACCAAAAGAATAATAGCCAGAAAAAATCACTTTTAAAACCGTTTGACTATGTTAAAAACCAAACATTTCAACACTGATTTCATTTGAAACCCCTGTGGTGTATTGTATTACTGTAACAAAATGACACAAACAAGAAGGTGTGCTATCCTCTCTTGCCTCAAATTGTTTCCAATATAGCATATATAACATAGTATAATAGTTTTCCATTAGTTAACGGTTTTTATAGAAAGAGCAGACTGCGTTCTCCAGGAGGACAAGGAAAGTTAAGAGAGCGCGACAAGGAAAGTTAAGAGAGAAAAAAGAGGTGTCAGCGATGTCCTTGATCTTTTTTAACGGACTTATTATCAACCATAAAAGAAAAGAGTACAGTGAGTAGTATAGCAGGGACCGGTTACTTCGTTTAGTTCATCTATGTGAATTAATTTGCAAGCCAAGAATCAGTAAAGGGGATTTAGAAAAACTTATTGCCTGCAATGAGGACAATGAAAGGGGCAGAAAATAGAGTTTGTAAAATAACGTTGCAACTCAGTGATTTTAAGTCACAGGCGAGTTAGCGCTTGTTCCGTCGACACCATGAATCAACCAATGAATAATTTCCTAAGTTTTTACTCAACAAATCAAAGAACAAGACACTCGTCGATCTAAAACATGTCAAAGCAGTTAAACCCCCTGAAAATAGTACGTGACCTTATTTTAATGAGAATCTACCGCATGTGATTCAAGGAGTAAAGACAAAAGGCTGAGACGTCATCGACGTTAATGCATGCCTGTGCAAGTTTTTAAAGAATCCTGCGCAAAAAACGGAGAAACCGGTCCTTAGTATACTATTACAGTGCGTCATACTCACTGGGGGTTCTACCATATGCCATATCTGGGCTATATAGGTATGGGCCGCTGTGAAGGGTATGGTTTTCAAGCAGTTTACTCTAGGATAGGGTAAATAAATCAGACAGTTTGGATCTAGAACAGGATATCATTTTCCAGGAAACTGATCAATAGGTTAAAGATTTTATTCTAGTCTAGGGGAACCGGGAATTGCCACTCAATTATAAAAAAATCAAATCGGTTTTGTTTTAGCTGGACTGTGCTAGTGACCTCAGCAGTTTCTGGAAAACAGCTACTGCAGGATATCGGGGGGGGGGGGGGAATTGGGGAAGTTTACTCTAGTATAGGGTAGCAAAACTCAGCTGAACTAGCTCTGGTATAGGCTAAGGGTTCCAGGGTGCCAGTGGCACAACCCCACCCATGGCAAAAAGTCCTAAAATACTCTCCAATGAAAGGTACAAATGCCAAGAAGGTGTGTTCCATTTTCGAATTTTTATGCTTTCTTTTCGCTCATTCCGACTACCGTAAATCCTCTATTAAGCCCCCCCCCCCCGGGACTTATTTATTTCGTGCCCATTTGACGGGGGGCAACTTAATAGAGACCGGGGGCTTATTTAATTTAGAAACAACGATGTTATCAGTTCTCCGTGCAGAACTACAATACAAAGTGGAAAAGCTCAAGTACAAGAAGTTTTAGGTCATGCAGCGGAGGATCAAAATCAAATCCGATCTTCCAGCTGGTAAGTAAACCAGCCCGGATCAGTGTACACGAAGTTTTACAGTCGTGGTTGATTATTACATTCTATCATTTAGTAAAGTATAAATAGGGGAGGGGAGGGGGGCTTATTAGAGGGATGGGGCGTATTTGAGAGAGGGGGCTTAATAGAGGATTTACGGTAACTAAGAGCACGGAACAGGCAGAACCAGCCTGTCCGGAGCATCCTGTCTACCATTAAATGCAGGCTGTCTCTTTGATATCTCAAAGCATCCCATTCTAACTGCTGCCAGGCTAGTTCAGTTGGATAAGCGCCGGTCTACTGAGCGAGAGGTCGTGGAGAATGTGCCGCTTTTATTCTGACATCTATAGCGGGTTAGACGTTCAAGTATTTTCGGATATGGACGAATAACCGTAGCCTTCGGCCCTCAGCTGTTCTTAAAAGAGGAGGGGACGTAGATACCGAAGGTGTGGTTAATCTTCCGTGGCTGGGTGCAAATAAAGTGCTTGATATCAATTGGGAAGCAAGTCCTATTTCATCCTCTGACATAATGTTGAATAACCGCGCGTGTCGATCGCGAATTTCGGTAAAACAAAACCCAGTGGTTTGATTAGGATTTGATCATGGTTATCCTGACTGAGCGAGGTTATCCAGGGTGCTTTTCCATCCCCGGCTCGAAGGCTAAAGCGCTCTGGGGACGATGATGGTAAGTTAATAAAATCGGCGTGCAGTTAAATAGACGTTTCTCAAAACTTAAAGCCCTATCGGCCATTTTAGGGCTGCGTATGGAACTAGGTCGGTGTTAAGTCAAATTGCATCATGGGAATGAATTGGAACGCTATTGCTTCTTTATCAGTCATTACAAAGTTGCAAAAAAGTTACTAACTGGGTTATAATTCGTCCCCAACAAACATAGAGTTTGAAATAATTCTAGCATTTCACTCTGTGAAATCTTAAACGCAAGGCAGTAAAACCCCAAAGCGACTGAAGTTGCAGTGCTTCCGATGATGGAAATTGTCTGGACTCAGGTTTAAGCCCCGGGGGTGGGGGGTACTCAACAAAGTTTTATACGGGGAGGCTCCTCCCGAGTCCTCTCGCATACCTAATTTAGGACTATGTATCCCTTTAAATTGTTTTATATGCACTGTCTTTAAAACATGAACAAACCACAACATCAGAACGCTATTCGACTTTTTAAGAGCCATAAAATACATAAGACTACTGCAAAGCTGATCAGAACAATGTGTATAATTCTTTTTTCAGAACAATATTTCGGCTGGCCGCAGCAGCCTTCTTCAGGTTTACAGATCTTTGGACTTCTCGTTTTTGTGTCTTAATTTTTTGGCTGATTAGATCTCTTTTTTAGAGATCCAATGTTTATAACAAGCAGAATCTTCGCCCACGGGTTTTGCAGTTAATTTAATTCCTTTATTCATAAAGTACCTCCTATTAACCCTTACAGGATTAAATAACAGATTTCCCTACCTTACTATATACCACAACTACTGAAATCCCTACCCTTTCAAAGAGGGCGAAACAGCTGTCTATGGCTACAATCCCGCTCTGTTTTGAGTTCTTTCGGTGTCGTGTTGATGTCTTGCTGAGTTAATTTTCACGTAGTACGATCAGCATTGCAGTATTCTGCTTGCAGAATTTAATATGTCTTCTTTTCTTTTTTGCTGATCAGGTCTTTATAGATCCTACGTTGCAGTCCTTTGTGGTTAATGTTTGTACCTTTCATATACCTTAAGCCTGAAAAAGTCCCCCTTTTGGGAGGAGCCTCCCAGTGTAGGCAATTATAGGGGGTAACCTCCCTCGGGGGTTTAAGTCAGTCCCTTGTTGTCTTCTTTCTGTGGGCTCTCCACAGGCTCTTTGTTCTTTCGCGCTAAACCTTCTCATTGGATGCGACAATAAATGCTATTAATGACAGTGAACGCAGTGAATCCATAGTTAACTGGGTCTAGCATAGGCTCATGTAGTCGACTTTCATCTTCACACATGCAAACAATTTAATCCAAAAAAGCCCCATCTGCTGGTCAGTTCCAGTCCATCTCGGAGATGCTGAGTAAGTTCAGTCTATTACTCGATTTTTTAAAACTAGATGTCTTCTTTAGATGGACGCACAATACAATAAACTATTTGGTCTAGATTAAGCCTCCACGGTTCTCAACTTTAACTAAGGTTTTTTTCAACCCGTTATACTATCTTTTCGAATGACTCTTCGCCAAGCTCACTGCTGGATATCATAACCTGCTCTCATATTTCCCGCCCTAAAGATAAATCTTTGTGCATCCTGATACTGTTCTTACAGTATGTGACAAAACCTTAGGAGATCGGCGCTCCGATATGGGATGATAGGCTTCTGATCACGTGTGTCTATTAACCTGAACATGCACATGTCTAGGCAAAGTATCCGTCTTTTATTACTTGACGATTTGGCCTATTCACCCCTGAACCGCCCATAACAGCCCGGGTGGATCCACTTCCCTTCTACCCCTTGTGACGTCATCGGTTTAATTTAACGTTCAAGGACAACTTTACCCGCTATATTGTGCCTGAGGGTAAAGCAGATCTTTTAAACCATACAAGAAAGAGCACGATTCAGCAAGGACGCGAGAAAAAAAGGCAAAAAACCTCGTAACGTTGACCTGAAAACTCCCATGTGGAAAATGCTGTTCCACTACTCACCAACCTTTCCTCTCATCATCACGATTTTCCCCTAAATTTTCCCACCAAATTAAGCCTTTTAAATACCCAGCTAAAAGAAAAAAAATTGGTAAAAGGAGCAAAAGAAGAGGGGAAGAGAGAAAGCGAAAAGAAGGAAAGCACACGCCAGAACTTCAGAAGCTAATATTTTGCATCTGGGTCGACCAGAAGGCCGCTTACATCGTCGGAGACCCAGGGGCAGTTAGTCGGGTCGATAAAAAGTTCGTGTTATTAAAGTTTACTGTAAACGTTTGCCACGAACATTTTATCGACCCGACTAACTGCCCCTGGGTATCCGAGGATGGGCCGCTTAGTGCACGAACTGTAAACGGCTTTTGTGGTATGTTTTTGCTCTTTATTAGGCAGAGAGTGACCAGAAAACGCGTCGACTAGCTTCAAAACTCGTTTTTCGGCAAAATTCCTTTGAACAAATGGGTTGATAAAGCATTTTGGTTTAAATATTGTTTGTTTGATTGTTCTTTGAATTTGCATTTTACATTCAATTAGTAAGGACGAGGGAGCAAGGTCACCCCTTTCATCCCTTCCATTTATTTTGATTTTTCATTTCTTGTCTTTAATTTTATTTTTCATTTACCTTCAATCTCTTTTTCAATTCTTTTTCTCACTAATATATGAACGACAAAAACAGGTTAGCTTTCAATCAGGAGATTACCTTACCTTGTTTAGTAAGCTTTTTCCGTTTCTCATGCCTATGATTCCTTATACCGAAACACATTATATTTGTCGTATTCTTCAAGGCCTCGGTGCCATTAACAGCGCAGGACACTGGCACAGCAGTTTGTCATACAGAATACGTGAGTAAAGCAACTGGCAGGTGAACTTGCATAAAATGGGCCAGGACGGCTTAAGATAAATGGAATTTAAATGATGATGATTGAAACCAACTTAAGTCATCAAATTGCAGATCACGATTATTGCAAGTTTAAAGTGAAGGCGTGAGTCAAAGGCGCCTTTTTTGTTTACAAAGAATTACATGAACTATTTTAAGGAAGGTCAACTCTTGAACTGTTTTTGAATAATTCATTTTGTGGCATTGAGTCAGCGTGGTGTGTAATTCAGAAAACGGGAGATCATTTTTGTTTTATGCAAGCATAATGACGAGAAATGGGTTATGAATGGTAAAAAAATGTAAAAATAGGACGATAATCTATTTGTTATCGACTGGTTTTACCCTTAAGGTTCCTAAAACGTGTTTAAAAATGGTAGGTGCCGGAATTGTCTAATAGATATATTATAATCACATGCAGTCATCGTTTTTCCAATATCACGCACAAATTAATTTTCTTTTAAAAAGGGCATTAAAAGACAGACAAAACTTTTGAGCCGTGACAAAGAGTTGATGAAGGATTAATGAACCAAAGTTTACAATTCAAAATGACGCCATCTGAAAAAAGCTTGACATTTTCTATTGCAAAAATGTTCAGTCATAAACTAGCTTAATGCAAGAAACATTTCCATCCCTAAAACAGCCGTTTCATGTTTCTCAATCGTTTTTCTTTTTAATGATAATATTAATGGAGGAAAATGGAAGATTTGTAACTTGTGTAACGACGTCTATTAACATGCAAAGTAAGAAATGTTACAATAAATTTTGGATCAAGTGGTTTCCAAATTTATCAGAATAAAAAGCCCGGAAAGTTGACCAAAATTCACCAATCACAAATTGACCCTCCTCTCCTTCGTAGAGCTATGGTCCATTGCCACTTTAGATTATTGCTCACAAGTTAACTATAGTTAAAAGACTAATGGCTTTCTGTTCGTGTACATTTTTGATTAATTCAGGCTCTAGGCAAAATCGCTTTCTGGAAACTCGTGGTAATACCGTATTAATAGAGCGGACGCCGAGCTTCACCGCACATTCAGAAATAGAAAACGTTTCGCCACCACAAAATTCGCAACAGTGTTACCAGCGTGAGAATGTTCATGATTATTTTAACGTGTAGACCTTTTTAAAGGAGAAAAACAGAAGGCGTTACGAATATGAATGGTTATTTAATAGGTTGCATTTCCCGCGTTTCTTTGTTTGTTTGTTTTTTTTTCGTTTTTCCCCGTTTCTTCCTATTTTTACAACATCCTGTTTAATCGCGGAAGGTCTAAAATCAACACACGATTACATGTAAGCTGAAGTTGTTTCTATTTATAACTTGGAAGGTTTTGCAAATATAAAACTCGCGCAGTATTATTTCTATCAAGCTGTGAATTTTTAATGGTTGTGACTCACAAAATGAACAGAAAATTAACAGATATTTGTAAACAATCACACGTAAAAAATCTCAGCGGCATACGAAAGAGAGTCTTTTGCAGTCCTCAGGCTATTTTGGAGAACAATAACAAATCACTCTATAACAATAACTTGTATTTATGCGTAGCTCCATATTTTGTGTTAATGAGCGACAGTTCAGGGATATTAAAGAACAGAAGTGGAATATCAGTGGATGTAAAATAATTACATTACAACACTACAAGTTGTGTTCCCTTAAAACTTTAAAGAACGAACAAAAAGAGTTTGAATTAAATACAAATAGCAGCTGAAAATGAGCCCTTTCTCACGTTGGCGATGGTGTTGCATCAACGATTCGTGTGTCTTTTCAAGGTGAATGCCAAATGCCAGTCGTCACTGACTTCAATTTTTTATTACCTTTCTACGTGGAGAGCTCTTCGAATTTTTGACCTTCTCGATTGTATAAAGATAAGACCAAAAAACTGCGTTCACCAATGAGGTGGCCATAAACACAGATAGCGGGTATGTGGTTGAAGTTGACTTCAACTAGCGAATCAGCTTGTTTTTGACGGCTATTAAAACGCAATGCACGTTCTTGTCGGTGAGAAAGAGTTCTGCGGATGTCAAATAGAAATCTCTTCTGTTAGCTATTCACTTGGTTCGGTTTCACACGCCATGTTTGAAAACATTTTAGTATTGCTGTTTGTGGTAGGTTTACATCAGGCAAGTGTCGATGGAAGTACAAGCTTACAGTTTTCTGGCAGTTCTTACGCCGAGTACGACCCTTGGAGCTGGATTCCTAATGCGACGCTGCAGTTTTTCTTTCAAACCAGTGAACAGAAAAAAGCTTTGCTTTTCTATCAGGACGATGCTGTCAAGGGTGCAAATTACTACTTTATGTGTCTGTTCCTGACAAGTAGCGGTTTTGCCAAATTTCGTGCGAGGCTTGGTCCACGGGTAGAAGAGCGTGAAATTGAACATAACTTTGCTGACTCCCAATGGCACAAAGTCAGGATAAAGATTGATGTGAAAAAAGTACATTTTTCAATAAAAGATCAGAATGGCGTAGTACACACTGCAGAAACTCCGTTTCAAATAAGTGCATCTGACCAGACTCGAGCGTACAACGTCTTGTTCATCGCTGGAATTCCACTCAGTTTGTCGCCTTCTACGGATTTTTCCGATACAAAATTATTTGGGTAAAAGCAGATATGATATTTTTAACATGATTTATTTCTGTTAGTTTTCTTTTCCTATTTTGTCGGTTCTCAGAAAGTCAAGCTTCTGTCTGCCTGCAAATTCACGAAAATAATTTAAAATCCCTGACCGCGAAGAAGACGAAAAGTACGTCATCGTGGCGTTGTTTAATTGAATGATCACAAGACTTGCTTGCAGTAAGGAACGAAACCAACTCATTTTACAATTTATTTACTACTAAGCTGTCAGTTTCAGGAGCAAACGTTATAAAATTTTCATTTGACAAATGATCATAAATGAATGATTACTGTGCGAGCACTTTGTTAGTTTAATTCACGCGGAAATAAATAATTAAAAATATTACCAGTTATACTGTTATGATCTTCCAAAAGCTTAAAGGAGAAATAGGATTTTATTTGGAGCCGACTACTGTTAATTAACACAACTTGTCATTCCTCTTTTATTTAGTACCTTAGGTCTCGCCATGTTTAAAGGATGTATAGGTGATATTAGGGTCTATCGACCATCGAGTGGTCAGCTGGATAAAGTAAAGCTACGGAAATCACCTATTTCTTCATCTAACGCACAGGGCACTTGCCTCGGAGCTTGTAGCAAAGTGGGATGCTACAATGGTGGTCGATGCATTGACAGAATATGGCATTCAGAATGTGATTGTTCAGCGACTGGTTTCGAAGGACATAGATGCCAAAATCGTAAGACAAAGTTTAAAGTTTGTCTTTATTTACTGTGGCTATGTTCACACGGCACACCGGATGCATTTTCGAGCAGTCGAAAATTCGTTCGTTCTGTTCACACGGAGCCACGCTAATTTGAACGCCTAGCCGTTTAAAAATTCGAACGCTAGAATTTAGGTCAAACTTTTAGCCGTCACGGCGGAAAATTTGACCAGCGCAATGTGAACACCACCACCGTTTAAATTTTAAGGCAAATTTGACCGGCGCTATGTAAACACCTTAACCGTCTAAATTTTTGTACGGTAAAGGCACGGTTGCATGGATGCGTGGTAACTCAGCTGGGAGACTCGATTTTGGAATTGCTTAAATAGTACTTGGACAGATGGTAAAATCTCTGACAAAGTTAAAAATTCCACCTGGTTCGTCAGGTCCATGTGAAAAGAGCAAAAATATCGAACTGTTCCGTTTGAACGAAGTGTCCGCTCAAATATTTCAGCCGGTCGAAAATTCGTCCGGTATTGCCGTGTGAACGTGTATAGCCCGAAAGCCGCTCAAGGTTACTCTCAGCGAAAGAAGCTGATGGTTGACGGCTGTTACGTAAGTGTAAAGGAACAAAATTTGAAGCCCGTTTCCAGGACTGAAAGTGCCCATTATTTAGAACGTTTTCACATGATGTGACGTCCGCCATATTGGTGTTCCAAACCAATCCCGTGGGAGTTGAACTCTTTTCTTATGCAAACGCTTATTTTTGTTTCAATAAACAGTTGCATAGATGCTGGCCACGTGAGTGAAAACCCTCTATATCGTCAGCCTCGGCTGGTAATTGCCATGGAACCACAAACGGCCAAATTTAAGCCCACATCTGAGGACGACCGAAATTTCATCTCAAGCTCCCAGTACGACAAAAGATGACATAGAACACTTCAAAAATCTAGCTCAGCAATGATCAAAACATGTGGAACTCACCATGACATTATACTATTAAAAAGAATAGGAATCTAAAATATCATTAATTTTAAAGATAAACGCCAGTGAGATTAGTTCTATCTATGACTTGTTTTACATACCTATCGTTTCCATCATTCCGTTTTTTGTTAAAGTATAGAACAAATATATTATAGTTTAATCTGTTTTATATATTTGTTTTTTAGGTTCCCATACTGCCCTCCTGAATGTTCCTCAAGAGAGCGGGGGATATATTTTTCAAACGCTGAGTAATGACAGTCCCTTTATGGACACAGAAAGGAACACAATACAGTTTATGTTTTTAACAGAAAAGAAGAACGGCGTATTCTTCTACATGGGGAGTGACAAAGACCATTTGGTAGCGGAACTCGTAAATGGAAGTTTACGAGTCGCGGCAGACGTCGGTGGAGGTAAGATTAGACTTAAAATGAAGGCGAGGCTGATCGGATGGCTAAGGCCCACAAATTTATTTGCCCAATATTTCGACTAGACAGAACTAGTCTTCATCAGGGTTGGAAAAGCTATGTTAGAATAGAATAATTCTAAGGTTGTCTGTACACTGGCTGGGCTCGGAGAGATGTGGCTAAAAAACTTGAATACAATTGGCAGTTACGTTGGGTTGATTCACATATGAATCTCTTCCAGTTCAATTCCCTCTGTGCGAAAACTGGACTCCAGAAAAGGGGAAACTAAGTGACGGGCTGCGTGTGGGCAGCATAGCTCTCGTCTGGGCGCCCACCACGAATAACTGAGGTCTGTCACTGGGACGGTCGTGAGCGACAACCGGAAATTCTCGGATGATCTGATCGCTCATTTTGGGTGGAAATTTCCCTAGAGCTCTCAACGGTTGAACATTGATAAGCGACGTCAGTTGTCGAGGTCTTGTACTGTCGCAATTTGTAAAAATAATCGCAGTTTGTAATAAATTCATCGCAGATTGTAATACCTGTTGCAATTTGTAATAAGCCGTGTCACACTTTGTAATAAAAAAGCTGTCGCAATTTGTAATAACTGTATATCGCACTTTGTAATAAACTAAGCTTGCATCTCAGAGAACTTCAATCTCAAAAATTTTCCCAGAGGAGCGTGCGCCCGAAACTCTCTGGAAAAATACACCGTTCGCAGTCCTGATAGGCACTATCGCGCCCATATTGCCACTGTACTACTATATCTCTATCACAAAATCCTCCGTCCGCCCCTGAGTCTGCCGTGGGGTTCGCCCTCTTTAGCTTCGCAAAGCTAGCCAAAACTGAATCAGCTCACCTGGCTAATAACTAAACCTAAAACCTGCAAAAAATGCAATTCCAGGCGAAGGAGATTAGGGTTTTTTTACTTACGAATGTACAATCACTTGTTCAACGTGTCTTTATATTGCAGGTCCTATAGTTGTGTTCGACGAAAGTAATTATCTTTCGGACAGCTGCTGGCATCACGTGGAAGTTCGTCGCAGAAAGGCGCGGTTAACTGTCATCATCGACAAAGAAAAATCCAGAAAAAGCAGTGAGTCCTCAACTTCGCATTTCAAGCTGAATCTTAACAACAACACATCTAACGTCATTTACTACGGCGGCGGCCCTTCTGACAAACTGGTGTTTGCAAAAACTAAACCTTTGTATTTTAGGGGGTTTCTTAAACAGTTTTACTTTGAACAAATCAATGTAATAGATAAGGCATTGATACGACCAAAAAATGCAAGAAGAGACTTTGAAATATCAGATTGGAGTGGAGTGGGAATTGCAGTGATGAGGAACTTCTTACTGCAATCAGCGGAACGCAAGTGCATACCAGACCCGACTTCAGGGTGCTCACCAGACGACGATGACTCAGATCCGTCATGCAACCCTTCAACAACTACACCGACAAAAGGTAGGCCGTCCAGGGCTATGTTTCACTAAACCCAATAGCTCTTGCGCCGGCACGGTAATCATACTAGGTAGGGCTTCTGGTCATACATGAAGACTGTGATTTCGGCGTGATTTCTGCGCCGCTCCAATCTCGAAAGTGGAGCGTCACATATCGGATAGGTTCTGTGCCACACTTTGGTGTAGTGTGAATAGGAATATGGACCGTAGGGGAAGTAAATAAGTAGCAGAAAGATAACTGGAACCCACTGAAACGCAAGTAAATATTCAAGAGTGAGGACTGGGATTTAGTTCACCAAACCCTCTCGGCAAACCGTTCCGACACGATGTTCGATGTGTGTGAACGATTTGTTCTAGTTCTGTGCTGCTGCTGTTCACATATATCGGATAGGAGTTTTCATGCCGGCAGTAGCAATGTTGGCGACACCACAACAGGTTGCACTAATGACTCTGGGTGTCAAGGGACTTGCTATCGTTTCAAAATGCTCAAACTTGTCTCGGTATCAACTAAATTCCAACACTAATGGTCCAGTTTTGCTTTTTAAGGCTATGTTTAGACATTGACACTTTTTCGTGTCGTCTGTTGCTACGGATAGCATAGCAACAGACGATAACAACAACAACATGGATTGAAAGTTTTAGTGCTACGCCTGCTAAAATCACCGAAAAACATAGTTTTAGTTTAATACTCATGGGTGAAATCTGTTTGGTATCTTTTTCATAACTGCTACTGGAGCATTTTGTGTATGGGTTGAGGCATTAAGTAATGACTTGAGCACAGACTTGACCAAAAAAAAATCAATATCCTTACGAAATGGCCGCTTTAAATTATCCATTCCCTTCCAGCGGTAAAAACCGGTTAGAAGGCAGATGAACACCGGGGCTTACGTTACGTATTATTTCCAACAGCAAGAGCGGGTTTCACTTCACGGTGCAACGATCTCAACCGGAGCTACTAAAAATTAAACAAAAAATGTAGTTTGTTAATCAATCAAAGAGCAGTGAGTCACAACAACCGGGAGCTACCGAGTCTGACTTAGCTTTTGCTCAGAGCCAATTAAAACAGACAGCATTCATTTACATTTCGAGTGACTATAGCGCAGGTTGAGCCCGTTGTACTTTAACAATTTCATCGTTGTAACAGATAAGGATAATAGAATAATAAATAGATCATAGAGAGAAGGAAGTAGAGAAAAAAATTATAAACAATCTACTTTGTTTCAAAGCGTTCTGTACGCGGTGCCAGTGAGGAAGGTAGAATATGAGTCTTTCAGTGAACTAAATCAACGTTATATTTTTTCTGTTCAAAAGGTGGTTAGTGCTCTGCACTGGACAAATCACTTTCCAAAGGATAATGCAAATAGTTTCCTTTATGCTTATCTACTAGATAGGGATGTTGAACCTGTGAACAACTGGGGCCAGTTAAATCATTATCCACTGAAAAACGCAATTGGTTTCCTCGACAGCTAACCACTCTCCGAGCCCATAACCCAGAGTGAGCGACGTCCATGCGCTCGTGTCACGGCGTTTTCTCGGACTAGTTTATTTTTAGAACGGTTTTGGCCCTAAAATTTGTCTAAAATAAACTGGGGCCCGTTTCTCGAAAGTCCCGATAATTAGCGGGCCCGGTAAGCTGTCTCCATTCACATTAAAGATCGAGGTTTCAATAGTTTTGCATCTAACATGATAAAACTGTCAGTAAATGAAACAAAATGGTGTAGTTTGCTAGCCAGGACCCGCGCTGTTATTCTTTATATTTCGATTTGAATATTTGATTTCGGCCCGTAAAGTTACCGGGACGTTCGAGAAACGGCCTCCAGGTCCGTAAAAACGTTCTGACATAGGCCTAGTATGGGAGTTGCTCGCTCCGGGTTATGGGCTCCTGCCACTGTATAGCATGTTTAGTGGATAGCGCTATCTAACGTTTGAACAACTAGGGGCAGAAGAATATTTAGTAGCCATAATAACTATACTAAGTAAATCTTTTCTGCCCTTTTTCCTTTTAAAAGATACAACGAAAAGCACCACTGTTTCCTCACCAACTCCTACGGGAACAACTACAGAAACTCAGTATCAGGTAGCAGGACAGCGTCAAAACCCTACCCCCAGATCCAAAGGCGTGTCAGCCTGGGTCATTATTGTTATAGTGTTAGCAGCCATGGCAGTTGTGCTAATCACCGTGTTCCTTCTCTACCGCTGGAATCATCGATACACGGGCTCATTCAAGCCAAGTAAAAGCGAGGAGGCACAATCGCAGGACCCTGCGGCAGACGCAGAACAACAGCAAGGCTCATGGATGTATAATCAACCGCCATTTTTTGTTTACAAACCTGCCAAGAAAACTACGAAGGCTCAGAGCCCGCCTGTCTCTATTTAAAACTGCTTGTGGTCGTTTACAGAAATAGCAGTTGTTGACACAGCTTCAGTTGCTTGGTTGATTTGTATCCCTAATTCAACTAGACTGGTCAACAAGCAACAGTAATGCGTCTTCAGACCAAGTTCAACAAAGATTTGCACCTGGAAGACACTGAAATGGCAAATGGTTTACAGTTGCATTCTAAGGCAACAAAACTTTCCTAGAAACTTTGAAAAGGACATTCTGTTATTTACTCGAGAATTTATCAGAGTCTATCAGATTAGCTAGTACAAAAGATGAGGTCATTGAAAGCCACATTCTGCGATGAGTATACGATCACAATTGCTGGAGAAAACAACAACAAAGCTAAGCCAAGTGGACTTCGGTAAAAACCCACAAAATCTTTGTATCTTGAGAAATAATAGAGGATTCTAGTATCAGGGGCACCCAATGGATCTGTTCCTCAAAATATCTGTTCTTCAGGCACATTTTTGTTGGCTGGGAGATGTGGAAGAAATAATAGTCCTTGGAAGGAAAGTGTTGCTGGAAAAAGATAATTCAGGGTGTCAGAGGGGATTTGAAGTCTAGAATAGCTGCTAGAGTTACTTGTATGGGTTACTTACCACTCAAGATCTGAATTGTGCCCTATGAAACTTCCCAGTAAGTCAGGTTGCAGGTTGTAAGGTTGCTGGCTGGGAACTCTTCCATCAGTCTTGCTGGGAGTGAGGAACAGATAATTTTTTTTCCAGCAATCTCCCAAAATGTTTAAAATAGTCTCAGAAAACTTTATTCACGCTTTGTTGTTGTTTTTAGGTCTTTTTCTCAAAATTTCCCGTTGGGTGCCCCTGTAGTATTAGGAACAGCTAAAATAGCTGCCAAATGTAGCCTCTACAAATACAGTTTTAGCATGATTCTTAAGCTGTTTGCTGGAAAAAGTTTAGCGCGCCAAAGATATCATGGACTAACTATTTTGGACGATTCTACAATAGCTTGTGTATGTACGTATTTACTACGAATAACTTAGCACGCATGCAAATCAATTTGTGTTCTTCCTTTCGGGGTATGAGCACAGTTTGAGAAACTCGACAAAAGTTCGATTCCGTGGGCCGATAATGTGCTCATATCAAGGGCTTGTTTACATTGGCTTAGATTGAAATGATCATAAGCAGTCAGTTATCAAAAACTGTATCTCAATAAAACTTTCAAGAATTTCTAAGCAAAAGGTAAAGAAACCCGGCTCTTTTAGGTACATTTTAACCTGTGAAGAAAAATAATGGGCCAAGAAGTAACGACGAGATACTGAACATTTTTTAGTAGAATAATATTGCCCGCTCAGTGTTCTTCATTTTCTAAGGTACCAGTAGCTGTGTGACCAGACATATATTTACAACACTTTTCCATCACTTTTTTTTTAAAAAAAAATAACTTTCTTGTTATTAAGGTATCCCACGGTCAACGTTCTAGACTTCCTCTGTGTCCTATTAGGATCTCTTGCAAAAGTGTATTAAGAAAAAAGAAAAGAAACAACAACAAAATAAAACAAATTATCATTCGATGCAAATGTTTCTTCCTTTTCATTGGCCGAGAGCCCACCACGTGACCTACAAATAACTGTCTACAAATAATGTGCTCATGCGCAATGGCGTCCAATTGTGTCTGGCTGCAAATAATATTCTGCACATGCGTAAAGGAAACCGTGCTTTTCTCCTTCTTGCGATTGCTCTTGCGTGAAAAAGGCAGATGGCTTCGCTTCCCGAGGATATTCAACAAAAAAACAAACTCGGTGATCGAATGAAAAAACAATTATTGAATTCGGTTATCGCAAAATATCGTGATTGGTCAGTGTCTCGCAGATCAGTTATTTGCCTCAGCCTTCAGCCTCTGCAAATAATTGATCTGCTCGCCACTGACGATATTTTGCTCAACCTCGTCCTATAATTGCTAATTATTATGTACAATTATTTTTAAAAAAGTCTGGATCACTTAAGGTTTCTGGGAAACTGACCACCTACCCTCCCTTAAGCTAATATTAACACTTACTTCTCACTTTGGGCAAAATGTTGGCTTAGGGAAGGGGTGGGAGGGCAGTTTCCCAGAAACCTAAATTGATCTAAGGGATCACTTAAGGTTTCTGGGAAACTGACCACCCACCCCTCCTCTAAGCTAATATTAACACTTACTTCTCACTCTGGGCAAAATGTTGGCTTGGGGAAGGGGTGGGTGGGCAGTCTCCCAGAAATCTAAATAGATCCAAAAAGGCTTTGTCAGGATGATGGGATTGAAGAACCCTACTTGGGCCACGCTGTAGTATCTTAAGAACCTTAGCACTCTGAAGCAATAACCCATTTATTGCTTTCAGCGATAAAGAAGGTAGAGGAAGCCTTCTCGCGGCCACGCAGCTCCTAGGCGGTCTAGGGCAATCTAGCTCGACTTGTCCAGACCTCCACCAAGGTTAAACGTCTACGTTGATTTTTGATTTTGATTGTTGGAATTTCATTTATTAGTAAATGTAAAAATGGGAAAAGATCTATAAATTAATTCGTTAAAGTAACTCTCTTTTCATTTTCTAAAAATTTAGGGTCGGTTACTTAAACGAAATCTAACTTGGACCGCGGTTTAGGAAATCTTTGGACCTCGAGATCTCTTCCATAGTGGATTATTTTAAGAAGACAAGTGCTTTTCTTGTCTACCCCATATGATTTCATAAACTCTTCACGAGAAAAGGTGTTTTTATAAAAGCGTCCGGCAAACAACCTCGTCCCCAGGGCGCTTTTCCCTGGCTTTGGCCAGGGAAAAGCGCCCTGGGGACGAGGTTGTCCGGCAAACTGAAAATGGCTTAGAACGCGGTTTTGTCAAAGACTGGCCAAACTCCGTTTAAATACAGTCGACTTCCGACAAATCGAACCTTCAAGGGAAATCGGAAAAAGGTTCGAGTTATCGGGAGTTCGAGTTATCGGGATCCCGAAGAAAATAGCCGAGAGTAAGGTAAACAACAGTTTTTATTGCACAGTGAACATTTTAATCACATTTAATTGTAGAAATGTGACCCTCCACAGGATTTTAATGCTAAAGGTGAAAGCACGCGCACGACACGCTTTCACTCTAAAACAAAAGAATTTATTTTAACACGCTTTAGCACGCTTGCAAGCTTGCCTCATTAGCAATTTCTTTGTTTCAGAGGACACGCTTGAGACAATTAAGCGTGAGCAAGTCGAACAAAAGAGCGTGTTAAAGTTTTCAAACAAAAGCTCCGTGCGAAAAAGCACAACACGCTTTCAGTGTGCCCAAAAGCACGCAAGGCGTGTTATCTATAAGCTAAATAAATTTTCTCTACAAAAAGGAACCGTAAATGATTATGAACGGCACCCTTTTTTGGTAACTATCGAGAAAGAAAAAGTTATACCTCAGCGATCGCAGCGATGGTATCTGATTGAAAAAACGTTGTCGCTTGAAAAGTATAAACAGTGAACGTCGTGACCTACTGGATTTATGGGTAGAACTATATTAGCATTGCAAAGTCAAAGTTCTTTCCAGAAATGTTTACTGATAAAGCTGTGCAAAGGTTATCTTAACTTTCCTTAATTTAAAACACATTTGCAATTTTCTCAGAAACAGTGATCTTTCGGACTTAAGACACTTTCTTGCCGATCGCAACAATCGCGATCAAATATAATAGAAATCATCAAGTGCCAGGATCACTAAATTGTATTTATTTTTTAGCGATTGCAAGGATCGTAGTGATCAAATGAAAACCAGCCTGCTTTTCTAGATGTACCAAAATTCCAAAACGTTTCCAACGTTACTTAATTGATCCGGCCGACAATAACACAAAAAGCGAAACATCAGTTAACTAATGACTGTTTCATCGCTTTTTGAATAGTAAGCAAAAAATATATTTTTTAACAGAATTCCTAAATTGTATGGTACTTTTTTGTTTTGCCACGATAATACGGCGTGTTTAGAGTACTAAAGTTCGATCCGAGAATTAAATCTCTGTTAGTCACACACTGAGAAAAGAGAAAAAGAACTAAATTAAAAGTAGTCCGCGTGAAATTCTTGAGGGCAATCATTTGTTCCATAAAGTTCGGTAATTGAATTAATTCATCGATCTCGATCTAAAGGCCTTCCTCAACCTATAGAAAATTCTAGGCAGTTTTTGTTTCTCCGATTTAATTACCTTCGTTCGTCTCAGCATGGCTTAAAGAAATATATTAAACTAATTTATTCAACTTCATTTCTCCGTGCATTACTGCTAATAAATATTCCGGTGGCATAACTATAATTTTCAGGCGACATAACTTCAGTGCCTCGCATGCGATAGCGGGCCTCTTTGCGATTCTGGTCAACAGCCGACAGCCGGAGGAATTGGTTTACACTGATCTCGCGTTAATTCCAGGCTAGACCACCATCAAGTCGTGATTTTCAAATGGTCACGGTTACTATCAAATTCCAAAACAGTCTCAATTGGTATATTTGATTCACTTCGACCAGTTATCAATGCTGATTAAATCCGCTGAAAACCCAAGCCATTTTTATCATCTTAGCGGTTTTAGTACTCAAGCGTGTTCAGCGTGTCTTACCCAAATTGCACGCTAACCGTGCTATAATTCGCACACTTACCGTGACATATGGCACGCTGCAAAAAACAAAAGGTCTAGCGTGTTAAATTTGCCAAAACAAAGGCAAGTGTGTCCGTCTTTGTTTTTTCAATTTAATATGCGCATATCCGTGATCTACGGCACGCTAAGCGTGTCGTGCAAGCGTGTCGTGCGCGTGCTTTCACCTTTAGCATCAAATTCCTGTGGAGGGTCACAAATGTCAAGTGAAAAGTAAAAGATACTTCTAGATTACAAATCAGAACGTAACGTAACAAAACATAGCCTAAATAGAGCATGCGTTTTACTGTTTTGAGAAGAAAAGCTGCTTCACGTTAGCCTGTGACAATCAACATCAGCCTCCACTCGTAAACTATACTCCGACAACACGTCAATAGGAAATCCAAAATTCAATGTTTCGGACGCCCGTAGACGGCTTTTTTCCCGACTTTTTAAGGGCTCAATACATGGTTCGAGTTATCGAGGGTAAAATTATGTAGAAAATGACCTAAGGGGAAACGAAAATTGGTTCGAGTTAGCGGGAGTTCGAGTTATCGAGGGTTCGAGTTACCGAGGGTAAAATTACAGTAAATGTATGACGGAAATCCAGGGGAAATCGATTTTGGTTCGAGTTAGCGCGAGGTTCGAGTTAGCGAGGGTTCGAGTTATCGGGAGTCGACTGTAACTGGCCCTTAGGGTTTTTGTTCAAAACGCTTCGTGCCCGAGTAAAATCACGCTGGAAAATCATGCCGACAACAACAACCAGCTTCTGTTTTCAAAGACGTAGCACTTTTTAAGTAAACTTTTAAAAAGTTTAGTAAACAGTGTTTTAACTGAGTACTCTACTTATTAACTTTTGCATATTTCTCTCGTTTAACCGCGATGAAGGTCAAACCATGATTCTACAGTGAGCTGTGACGTCACCGAGAGAGACTCACCTGACTGCGCGGAAAATGCGGTATAAATATCATAAATGCCTAAAGACTGGACTGGCCTGCACCGACGTCGTAAGGTTAACAAATGTTACCAAAAAGTTCTTTATTTTATTGTCAACGTATTAACCACGCGAGTTCTAATTCAAAACTCTGTTTATACGTCTCCTTCTCTGAGACGGGAATAACATTTCTTCGTGGTCACCAGAGCCACCTGAGGGTCTAGCCGCTTGTAGCGGAAGGGTAGTAGCTTCTTTCCTCAGTTATATTCATAACCTGAGTAATTTTCCCATCCCAGGTATAAAACCAGCGACCTCCCGCTCTGCAGGCCACCTATCTCCCAGATTGACCTAACCCTGCCGCGGTTAGGTAGTAAGATAAAAGTGTTGAACCCTGTCTCCAGTAGACTACGAGTCCCCATTTTCCCTCAGGGATAGTAGAGCGAGCGAAACGCGTGAAACGCGTGAAACGCGTGAAACGAGCGAAACGCGTGAAAATCACCTCAGGGGAGAAAGGCGAGAAAGGCGAGACGCGGCGGTGAGAGAGAGAAACTCCCAGCCACGTCTCGCCTTTCTCGCGTGGGGTGAATTCACGCACGCTCGCGTTTCGCTCGCTCTACTATGTCTTAGGAAAAATGAGGACTCTTCGTATTCTATGTCTACCGATGATTTCATTACATTGACTTCGTGTAGCCCTACCGTGAAAGTAGTATGTAAGTCACGCACTCTCCATTTTGTAGAATAATCGATCGCATAATCAGTTGCGTGCAAAACAAATGGTATATAGCAGTTTCGTTATAAACTTAAACTGTAGGCTTTGTCAAATGGAGAGCATTCCATAGAGCTACTGTCCTGATTATGTCCATCCCAATAACAACCAAAGTATCACTCATGAGGAGTTTTACTTTTTTGCGTTATAAATTTCTTCTCACACGAAACATTACCTTGTGATATGAATCACGTGCGTAGTGGTAATGGAACAAACAATTGGCACTCAACCGAGTCGAAATGGCTGATGTTGAGTCAGTGAGACAGAACCAAATCATTCAGCTTCGATCGACAATGCCGGGATGACACGTATTTTCCTGGGTATTATGGGATGTCTTTTGAGCACGCGGTCGTCTTCACTAGTATGTAGACTTTGGACCAAATTTTGTGTTCCTCTGAGTCAACATTTAAGGCGAAGAAAACAGTTTGTACGTGCAATTAGTTTGTGTCGCCGTTTTTGCGGTATGTTTTCGTTTGTTTTGTTTAAATTGATGCTTAGTAGTCGTAAATTAATGTTTTTTTTTTCACCATTGAAATACGACAAACACTTATAATAAACTTGTTTCGAGGCAAGAGCAGTTCTTCCTTTTCCAGTTTTAAGGGAAAATAAATCCTTTCAAATTACTATTGAGTGGATTAATTGCAATTTCGTCTCCTGATTCTATAGGGATTACACCAAGCGGCCCATGTAAATGTTATAGTTTATACTTTCGTGCGTCATGCAACCTTGTTAAAAGTTCTGTCCATTGGATATTTGTTCGTCTCGTCTCTGTGTCGATTCCCTCTTTTTTAGCATTAAACGCCGCTTCGGTCCAGAGTCATACTGAGTTCCTCCACTTCAAAGAAGAAAATAGGTTAAGTTAGTAAAGTTGCTTGACTGGATATAATTTCGTTTCGCGTCTAGAAGATGTTTGTTTTGTCTTTTTTTTGTCACAGTCAACGGTCATGCACAGCAGGTATAGGATAGTGCTTAGTTCGTAGATTTAGATTCCCACTTGTAGAAGGACTCGTGCACAGTCTGAAAAGTTTAGATCAAACAGCCAGCACTGGCAGCACACACCTTACTGCGATTTCTGAAGTGAAATTTAAAAAGTACATCCACATCAGTCGCTACGTATGGTTAAAAGTCGTAGCATCTTGAGTAATCTTGCACAGCGTTTAAACTCAGGGCTCCATCAATTTACTGCACGGTCCGAACTTGACTGAGTTTGTGCGGAGCAAAATCAGTGCTCACCCCGGTGCAGTTCATTACGTAGTTTGCATGGAAGTAAACATTTTGAGAACTAAATAATTATTTCTTTTGGCTCCGAATGCGGTATATAAATCGCAAAATGTGAAATTATCATGACTGCATTATTTCAGTCTTATGCTGTGAAAGCAGTCAGTAAAATGAACTTTTTTTAAATTATCACAATTCATAAACACACTTGAAACTTTACACACCATGAAACCAGCTAGTGCCCTTTTCTCTCTACAAGTACTCAGTGCAAGAGATGACTAAACTTATCCGAGCCTTAGAGTTTTTTTGGACGAAATTCTGTAGCCTGAGTTGGTCGGTCTCACTGATATGATGTACACACACAGGCGAGCTCAGTCTAACTGGAGATCGGTTCAGTTCTCGAATCATTATATTTGGTTAGAAAAACAAACAAGCAAAATCATACTGCTTCTCTGGTCCTTCTGTTTGGAATAATCCAAAAAAGTACTTGTTTGCGCATATTTGGGCAAACAATGTTGAAAAATCTTAATTTGTCTATTTGCATGCTGGATAATATATCCTTGGGTCATTTATAGCTCATAACACAATAAATATTACTTTACCAACAGCTAAGATTAAATGGGAATTCTGTGGCACTTTATGGCTTTTGACTATGGCTTATTATTTTGAATTATGTAAGTTTTAGCTTGTCTGAGGTCTTCTTTAAAGTGAGGTGACTATATTATGTTGTCAAGCACATGATATATTCCTTTGGTATTTCTGCTGAGGAGTGCTGCTGTCTATGATGATATAACTTGAGCCTTACATACAACAAAACAGTCATAGAAAAACTGTGAAATCTATCCTAGTATAATGTAAAAATGAAAACTAACCAGTCAAAGTGCTGCTCTACTTAAGAAATGTTGTAGAGCCGACTGAAGTACATTTGACCATTACCTTGTTTATGAACTTGCATAAAGTAATCGACAACAAAAAAGCATGCATAAAGCAACTCTAACAACAAACAAAACTAAACAAGGTCGGGTATACACACCATAATATTTGAAAACATTCTTTTCAAGCAAGATCATAACTGAACCGTCGTAAACATTTTCATTATGTTAATGGCACAGCCAAATTTTACAAGCAGCACAATCGAGCATTGAGTCAGTTTAGTCTAACACTGCAGTTTAATGACATACTGTCTAGTCTCTGCGTTCCAACAGGTATATCATTGAGTTCTTAGTTAAGAAGCTTGGGAAAGTTTAACGTTACTTTTCACTGGCGAACGCCGGCGAGCGAAGGCCCCAGTTACATGATGTATAATTCCACTTCATCGCCACCCTGACACTCAGCCGCCTTGAAATAAATGCTAATCACTGTCCTGCCTACGCTAAGAGTGAGCCGTTCCATTTCTTCGTTCCACTCTTGATCCCCGGCCTCAGAACACTGAACAGGGTCTGTACAAAAATAATTCAAAAGGCAGACTTTTGGTTAACAGCTGGAATCTAGATGCTTGATCAAAATTTCGTTTTGGAAAGACTCAATTTGAGCATCTGCACAACAAAAGCCTGAGATAATTTTAACTGCGGTTTGAATGAATCAAGTGTACTACTCCTAAAGAAGTTTGCATGCTGTGTATTAATGGCCATAAAAAAAAAACAAGTCTACTGAGTCTTTTTAGTTGATTAGTTACAAGGGTTTAAAGTGGAAAGAGAAAGAAAAGTTCAGTGCTTAGCACAACATAAATATTAACACATCAAGAGAACTATAACTTCGGTCTTCTTATGCTTAATTTTACACTTTAAGAAAACAGAGATACATGAATGAAAATGTATTTTGAGCCCTAAGGACTTTGAAAACACTTGGTTTTTTAGTAGCATTGTAGATTTTTGCAGCATCGTAGATTTGTTTTTGCTCAGTTTTATACTTTTTCGCCCCAATTTATTTAATGTAATTTTATGAGTAGATAAACAGCCTTACCATTGTGCTTTTCGTGCGTGTAAGTCTAGATGTTCTTACTTTAATTCAGCCATGTTAATGGGGGCTGTTAGTTAACAGTTCGTTATTCTTTTTGGAGCTCCGTCTTCGAGCGCTGAAATCTAGTCACTTCCACTGGGAACTCGGATCAATCAGTGAAGTGCGTGTGATGGTGTGGTACCATTACACATATAGTAAGTTGCCTCGATAGGGAGGGTTAATTTAACTTGGTTGCGTTTTTGAAGCCTATATATACCTGAATAGCCTGTTTCATGCCCCTTACTTAGAAGTAAAGTTTCTAGACGAACTGACCGGCCTCAAGTGACAGCAAATGAAAGCCTTCGCAGTCGTTTCTAGGCACTACTGTAGGCTAAAGATCAGCTGAGAACGAAGTTTCTCACATTTTGCCAACCGTTTTAGTTGCACGTTTTCGTCGCGTTCATTTCGAATTTTTATTTATCCCTGACGCCACAAGCATGGCTTATATCACCATTTGAAGTATTACTGAATTTTACCTACATTTTAGTTCACCTAGAAGTTTCGCCTCATTGGATCCACGAGTATTATAGAAGAGGCGTCGACATGTCATCCTTGCACGTAAATATATCCTTTGGAGAACAGATAAAAAATTGAAGAAGCAGCCCATCTTAGCTTGATTTTCAGTAGTGAGCTAGTGTGGGGAGGAGGAGCTGAGCGCCAGGCGAATTCTACTATTAAAGAACTGATAGAGCCGGTGGCCAGTAGATTACTACTATAACAAGCGCGCATGCACTCTTTTTGACTAGCTGAAGCACCAGCTTTGCTTATCAGTCAACGATATCAGCTTGCATGCCATCAGCCGATTGGGTGCGCGTTCATTGTGAAAGTTACAACCTGACAAATGTATTTAAAAAATGTATTTCCTGTTATGTCTCAATTCAGAAAATAATTTTCTTTAAAGCGAGTCAAAGTCATTTGAACTGATCATTTACTTTGCCTAGGAAAATTGAGGAAAAGTGTTGTTGTAGCTTTCAAAAAATAGTGTCCTTTGAGCCAGAGGTAAAGCCATTGATCTATATGCATTCCGGGTGAATGAACATTCCTTTTGTCTGTCCGGTCGGGTCCTAAGTACACCGACTACTTTCAAAATATGGCAACGTTTAATTTCTAATTCTGGCTCATCTCAAATCTCGAGAAGTTTACAGTCGTAACAAGCTGTAAAATCTATTCCAGTATGACCTCCAAGTGTATTCTTCTGCTCTATTTAAGAAATGGTTTAGAGCGGACTGAAGTAAACTTTGAACACTGCCTTGTCAAATGTGAAACGACCATGCATTTATAATAAGTAGTATAAAAGCCTTGCATATATTCAATTGTCTGTGGGATACAATTAAACTCTTTCCGAGCAAGGTCATAAATATATAGTCCAAAAATATTTTATTATACGATTGTCATAGCTACATTTTACAAGCAGTATAATTGACCTTTGAACCTTTTAGTATTAGTAGTTTAATATTCTGTCTAGCCTCTGAGTTCTATTCCAGTTTATGATTGAGTTCTATTAAAGAAGCAAGGGAAAGTCTCATATTCTATGTTTTATTGCACCTCCGAAAGCCGACGAAACAGTTGAAAGGCCCAGTCAAATGAAGTAAGATTCCACTTCTCCACTAGCCTTGAAATAAACCATGCTCATCCTGCCTGCGCTGGCACCGCCCAAAGTTCTGTAACTAAGTCCTATTCCACTGTTTTCCCTGTCGGAACACTGTATGGGCTCTGTAGAAAAATGTCAAAAGGCATTCGTTTGAGTATCGGCTATAGCAGCGGGAATAGATGTTTGAAAAAATTTCGTGTTTGGTAAGACTGATGGTGCATCCGCGCGGCCAAGATGAGCACAAAAGCTTGAGTTCCTCTTAAGTAAACAATAAGATAATAATAAAAAACAAGTTAAGTTAGGTTAATAAAGTGAACTGTTCCGAGAGGATCAAACTTTAGTTTTCAATGCTGTGATCCAGGTCCATGAGCAAGTATAGTCCTTAAGTAGTTACAAGATAATAATGAAAAGTGAATCAAAGAATTCAAACTTGAGTCATGGAATACGACATGAATGTTAACACAAAGTGAATACACTGACTTGGGTCACTTTTTATGCTTATCACACATGAAGAAAAAAAGGTATATTTCACTCCCTTGAAAACTTTGAAAATGCTCCAGTGTTTTTCTAGTTTTGTTGATTTGTTCTTGCATTTTTCTTTTCACAGTATTTAATGTAATTTTCTCTTTTTTGTGAGCAGACTAACAGCCTTTCCAATAACGTTGTGCTTATATGATTGTATATCGTAGATCTAGATAAATTTTGCTTACTTAAATCCTGTGTTAAATGTCTGAAAAGTTAACAGTGCATTACCTGTGAGCCAACCTTGTGGCACATGACAGGATCTAATTCAATTATCTAGGTCAGTGAAACCAGTGTAATGCTGAGCAAGACAACCCACTATGTGTAAATGGGCAAGGCTAGTTAATTAACGTCGGGTTCGTTTGAAGCCGTTGCAATAACGTGTTTCATGTTCCTTATTTTAAAGTACCTTCCCCAGAAGAACTGAGAATGCAGCAGAATCGTAAGTGACCCCCACTTCATGACTTGATCAGCTCAATCCACGATGAAGTTTATCGCATTCACTGCGCATTGTGCCAGCCTTTCTGGTCGCACGTTTTTTTCGCTTTCTTAAATAATTATCTTGAATTCGCACATAAATTTATAATTACTGTATTTTAGACGCCACAAGTATGGGTGACATAATCATTTGAAGAATTGACTACGTATGTCACGTCGGCGTCGACACGGTCTGCCTTGCACGATTTTCGTGTGGTTATAAAGAACTGAAAACGATAAATAAAAGGAAAACTTGGTCACGTGGTACAATTTGCCGTAAACGCGATGCTTTGAAATTTCTCTAGTATAATACATTTACATCCAGTGTGAGAAGTGAACATTCATTTTCTCTTAATCTATTCTCTGTCCGGTCCAATAAACTTACCGGAATACTTTCAAAATGTTGCAGCTTTTATTCTTAAGTCTGGTTCATCTCAATCCCAAACTGGCAGCTCTTCGACTCTCATTTTTCACATGCATTTCTTTACAGTCCACCACAATTTATCATTATCCAATATTCTCCGTCCTATGAAACTGGCGTCCACGTTGGTAACGCGATGTAGTGAAAGTGAATCGTTTTTGGAGCACGATCAACAGCATTTTAGTTGTTGATGAAAATTAGAAGCCCTTAACTTTTTCCTTTGTAAAAGTTATTAATAGGAGTTTGAAACGATGTATAGGTGACTGGACTTCAAGATCGTTTTATTTTGGTTGTTGTGCATTTCTTCTATTATTTCCCAATCTGTTGCAGTTTGTATTCGGTACATGCTGACAGCTGTCGTTGTTTGATTGGTTGATTGAGATCTGTGTATCTATTAGCATGCAAATATGGTCAAATGTGTTACGCGAAGTTAACTACAACTGATCCATCAAACGTGCTCAGACTCATTGCCTGCTACTTTATCCAAATCCTCTCAGTTCAAAGTGCATGGCAGGAAGTTTTCCTCAGAAGCCCACGGTGATCGAAATGAATAGAATGTTCCTGGGAACCTGATGCCATCGAATTAAACTTTCATAACGTAGGGGGCTACGGGCATGCCTGTTGACCACGCAGTCGTGCTATTAGACGAATTTTCTTATGTTGCACTCGACTTGAACGCGAGATAAACAATCTGTAAGTACAGGTTTAGTGTCGCCGTTTCTAAATGTTGCCTTTAGTAATTTTAGTTTAGAAATTTTTCGAGGTAATGACATTCTTTTGACTGTCACAAAACACAAAAGTAGGAAACACAAACATTTTCAAACTTGTATAGAGGGCTAAAGTTTATTTCTTTCTCAATTGCTAGGAGTAACTGAATAAAATGTTTAAATACAGAGCATATCCGCAGCATCCAAGAGTGAAATCAAACTTAGTATGATTTAAAACTGAAAGCTAGGCAAAGTTAGCCGGTATTCAAGAAATATTGTGATTAGTTTATTACTAACCTGGACATGCATGTTGTTTATCTCATGCTTACCATTGTGTCAACCTAAATTGGATTGAAGTAACAAGAAACAATCACAAATTAAGCTACCGTTATTTGTAGGGTGAGCTCCTCAGTCTTATCATTGCTATTAATTATCCAACTTTGCAAAAATTTACTGATCAGACTTTTGGGGCAAATAACTATGGCCATGATCACTCAGAGCACTGGAATTAGGTATTAATGAGCAGTGGCCTTGCTATATGAAACAACCATGTGTTAAGTAGCTCATACTAAACTTGTTTCATTTTTTTTAAAAAAAAAAGGTGGGAATAAAAACTCTTACCTGAAATATTTAATTGTTACTCAGATTAAGACAAGTCCCTCAGTCGGAACATGGTCGTCGAATAGCTATACATTAATCGAAAACAGTTTCATTTCGTGATTAATCTTAGCCAACCTTTTTATTGTGCGAGGCCAGTTTAGTGAATTAAGCTTTGATTGCCAGACTAGCAAGTTTTCAGGGGCACCCAATGGATCTGTTCCTCAAAATATCTGTTCTTCATGCAAATTTTTGCTGGCTGGGAGATGTGGAAGAAATAATAGTCCTTGGAAGGAAAGTGTTGCTGGGAAAAAGATATTTCAGGGTGTCAGAGGGGATTTGAAGTCTAGAATAGCTTCTGCGGGTTACTTGTATGGGTTGCTCACCACTCAAGATCTGAATTGTGCCCTGTGATACTTCCCAGTAAGTCAGATTGCAGGTTGTAAGGTTGCTGGCTGAGAACTCTTCCATCAGTCTTGCTGGGAGTGAGGAACAGATAATTTTTTTCCAGCAATCTCCCAAAATGTTTAAAATAGTCTCAGAAAACTTTATTCACGCTTTGTTGTTGTTTTTAGGTCTTTTTCTCAAAATTTCCCGTTGGGTGCCCCTGAAGTTTTGTTTGTCTTACCTTTCAGGTTCAGGTCCTTTATTAAGTTCTTGAATTAAGAGAAACAGCTGCAGCGGTGCAAATTAATAGTGTTTCATCCCATTACCGAAAACCGAAGGTTGTAAACTGTTTCTTTCTTTGTGGGGCTAGAACAGATAGAAATTAAACGTCCTTTATGCCTTTCAGTTGGCTTTATTCCGTTTGTTTTTGCTGTATTTCTTTCACATATTTAAAATGAAATTCTTTTACAGGTCATGTGAGGAAAATGCATTTATTAACACGAACCTTCAGTACTCTTCCTGCATGTGAAACTCTAAATGTTTTCTCCTGAATTCTTGGTTAAGTAACCATGTTAGTTTTCAACAGCTTTATTACTAGCAAACTCTTCGCACAACGTACCGATGAGGCCCATGAGCTGATTCAGTGGAGTGAGTGACTGAGATGGTGTACGAGAAAACGTTATGAGCAAAGGAGACGGGGCGGTTTAGTTTTACGGCGACTAGTACGTTATAAACGGTTGCAAGCCGAGAGCGTATTTCGAGCCCCTTGCTTTAAAGAGATCCTAGACGAACTGAGAATGCACAATAGTCAGTAGAAGCACATGGAACTCGTTATTCGGCTCTTCTTATTTCTTTACATTATCTGATACATTTTCATTATTTATTTATTTCTCAACCTGTTGCCGGCCATGGTAGAGCGATACTATGAACTGAGTTTATGGAGCATGTTCTGCATTTTCAAGCTATTGTAAGTGATGGTAAACTCAGCAGAAACTCTTTTCCTACTCAGCAACGCGTGTACATAGTCTCTCTATAAAGTAGTCAATTACACTGAGCTTGCACCCACGTAAACTTTTCTAGATGGAAAGTAGTTTTGCAGCTTTCATAGTTGACTACAGATGTGCTTATCTCAAAGTTAGAACTGATTCAGCTCTTCTACTCAGGGTATTTTTTACTTCACGATACTTTCCGGCATTTTTACATGCATATCACATCGGCAACCATTTGTTGTGTTCTCTGTCTTATAAAGGTGAAACGACGATTAGATCGAGCACAGAGAAGGGCAGCTAAGATTGTTTTGAAGACCAAAGATTCAGAATTTAAAGTGGCTTCCCTTGTCTATGAGGCGTGATATGCACACTATTAATCTGACTTTTAAATACTTGAAGGGATCCCCTCCAATGTTTTTTAAAGATTATTTTAAGGTTTTTAGAAAAATTCAAATGACACGAGGGGAAGTGGGCACAACTTGCTGCTCCCCAAAGTCAGAACTGAGACGGCAAGGAAGTTTTTTATTTTAATGGATCTAAACTTTTTAATAATATTGCAAGTGAAATGAAGGATTCTAAGTCAGTGGCGATTTTTAAAACTCGTATTTTGGAATTATATATATAAATATTTATTTTATTTTATTTATTTTTTATTTTATTTTATTTATTTATTTATGTATCATTTTTTTTTATTTTTTTTTTTTTTTACCAGGGCCCTCATTGACAACAGCATTTTATGCTGAAGAGATAACCCTGGCTAAATAGCATTTATCATTATTATTATTATTATTATTATTATTATTATTACTATTATGGTCGTAAAGCGAGTACCAAGTGTGGATCATAGTTTTGGAGAACGATCTTCCTCACTGTTCAAGGTTTTGATAACACTTTAGAGGCTCTTTTCCTGCGTAATGCTACGAGTTTAGAACGGTGTAAAGATGGCTGAATGGCCCTGGCTCTTAAGATGTTTGATATATTCGTATTCCTTTTGTTTTATTTTTCCACGTTTTTTTGTTTTTG